TAGAAGAAGCATCGAATGTCTTTAGTATGGGAAAAGATTACAATGATGATATGGGGCAAAAGTGTTGCGGGCTTGATAAATACATGGGAGAAACGGAAAACATGTATAGCAGTTTCAAGGAATTTTCAACATCCAATGCAAAGGTTAACGGTTGCTCTTCTGACAGGGAAAATATCGGTTCAAGAAAGACAAATAAATTAAAGGGACAAACATCAACCCATGATACTTGTAGGATTGAACGAACCAATAAACATATATCTAAGATTCCTATTCAAGAGAATGGTATGGATAAGGGGGATCTCTTAAACGACCAAGTTGTGGGCCAAGAGAAAATGTCTTCTAGGGCCTTGAAGGACGCTAGAGATATGGGGCTTTTGCTGGTGGCAGGGTCTTCAGGTTTATGTAAGAGTCAAAAAAGAATCGGAAAGGTTCAAACAAAGTTAGACTAGAAGGAACCCAAAAGAATCGAGGTGCTAATTCAATTGATGATACTAACACGTTGGTTGATCCTTTAGAATTGAGTCCCAAAATGAGGGTGATATGTCTAGGGCCTTCTTCTTGGAAATGGTGGGTGAGACAAAATTGACAAGAACTTAAAAGAACAACTCCCTGAATAAAATTCAAGAGAAAGCATTATCTCTATTGAACACGAAAAATAAAGAAAGAGCTATTCGTATGAGAAAACCAAAAACGAATGATCAAGAGTTGACTGAAATTTCATGTCGTTCTCTCTCAGATTCGGATCTGGCATTATGGTGGAACGTGTTGTCCAAAGAAACCAGGAAGTCATTGGATCTTGGCAAGAATCTGGGAATTCAAATCGTTGGTGAAGAATAGGAGGTGGTGAAGTTAATAGCCAGGCTTGAAGAAAATTAAGATACAGGGCAAGGCGACAGTTGTTGAAGTCGACAACGGAGTTCATGAAGGTGCATACATGGAACATGCGTGGAATGGGTTCAGACGTCAAACAATCTTCACTTCGTAATCTGATAAGGGAGCAAAAAGTGGAAATGGTAATTATCCGGGAAACAAATATGGAATCGATATCGACAGAAGAAATTCGGAAGATTTGGTTCAATGATGAGTTTGATTTTCAGTGGTCTCAAGCGCAGGCAGATCGGGTGGTTTCGTTTCTGTTTCGGATAAAAGTGTTTTCATTTTAGAAGATGTTAATATTAGCCAAAGATTTATTTATTTGTGCGATCGATGGATCGGTCAGGATGATCTTGTTGCAATTGTTAATGTCTATGCACCTTGTGTGGTGAATGACCAAGTGATTTTGTGGAAGGAACTAATACAGTTGAAGCATTCGCATCCTGCAATCTGCTTATTTAGAGGGGACTTTAACGCTGTAAGATTTAGAAGTGAAAAGTGGGGGTGTACTGGTCTCAAAATAAAAGATGTAGGTTGGACAGGTTGACGAGCTTGATGAAGGTGGGAACATTGGTGTGGCAAATCATGAAACTCAAGTAGCTTTAAGAGAGTGCATATTGGATCTTTGAGAAACTTTGAAATTCAAGAATACTTGTGGAAGCAAAAGTCAAGATAGAATTGGCTAAAGTTGGGTGACTCCAACACGGCGTTCTTTAACCGAGCTGCTAAAGTTAGAGCTAAGAATAAAATGATTAGTGTATTAAGATTTGGCGGCTGGTGGATTGTTGATTCGTTAACTAAAGGACTAAATGAAGCAATTTGGAGTTGTAATGAAGACAAAGCTCCAAGGCCCGACGGTTTCAACATCAAATTCATTACACTTTTGGGAAGAGGTGAAGGAATATATTTTCAAAGTTTTGAAATAATTCCATAAGACCGGAAAGCTATCCCGAACATGAACAACTCCTTCATCGTTCTTATTCCGAAAAAGGACAACCCAGAAGAAATTTCGGAATTCAGGCCTGTTAGTTTGATCGGGTCGATTTACAAAATTATTGCTAAAATCTTATCCAAATGATTGAGTCACGTTATTTGTGTCCTAATCAGTGATACCCAATGTGCGTTTATTCAAGTGAGACAATTTTTGATGGGATCTTGATTGCTAATGAATTTTGTGGATTGTGCTTAAACTAAACTTCTCGAAGGCGTATGATTGTGTTAGATGGGAATTCCTTACCATGATATTGAAGAAATTGTGTTTTAATACAAGATTGACAACTGTCGTTTTGATGTCAAAATAAATTTCTTCTTCCCAATAGAGTATAAGAAATACGCAGTAAAGAGAAGTAAGGATCGATCCTCAGAGACTTAGAAAAATTCCCAAATTTCAATTTGAATTATTTAAACCAGGCAATATGTAGTAAAGAGAATTGGGGGAGGGTTGAATTAAAATGATTGAATAAGGAAAAATAATTTAAAGCAAAAATTAAGAAAGTAAACAAAGATTTAAAAATAATTATAGTAAAAAGCAACCTCAGGCCTCGCTTTGACTCAATTCGTTTATGGTCATTGAAATTGGATTTTCACTTCGGGATTCACGCCGGTTACAGTCTACAAGGCATTATCCATGTAACTGGCTTTTCACTTTGGTAACTGATTTTCTCAAAGCCAATCTTTGAAAATCCAGCTTTTAATTGAACCAACTACGACAATCGACGTTAGTGCAAAAATTATTTTAGTTTAGGAAAAGCCCGATTCAGATTATGTTGTCTCTCTGAGAATCAAACCTGATCTCATTTCCCTTAGCGGACCGCTGCTAAGTGTGTTCACAGGAAATCGAATTTTCTATTCGTCGATATTTCCTCCGAACTTTAAATAAGAACAACATCCTGAACAACGTCAACTTTTTGAAAAGAAAGTGTTTTGTTTTTAAAGGATAGGTCGATTACCTATCCAAGTTTTTCAGAATATTAAGAGTGGCATCCTGAAGATGTTAGGTGCTTTTCAATTCTCACATATTGAATTGAGTCATCTCTTAGCCTTTCGGCTTATAATAAAATTAGTTAAGTATGACAAAAGTCATTCTTAGCATGTTTAAAAATAAAACTTAAAATAAAAACAAAAACTTGAAAATAAAGAAAAGAATAACTTTATAAAACCAAAAACAGAGAAGAAGAGTGAAATCTTAATTGTGTTTAGGCTTGCCATAAGAGGGTATTTATAACATCTAAAATCCTAGAGATAAACATAAAATTAAAATAAAAATAATCCTAAAGATAATTCCAAATGTTTTCCAAATTCAAACTTTAAAATTTAAAAATAAATCTCCTAAGATATCACTGCCCGTCCATCTTCCAGAAGGTACTGACTAGATCTTCTAGAAATCTGCTGCTGACTGGACCTTCTAAAAATTGTCATGTCAGACCGTGTCGTGCCCATGTCTCTAGTCATGACTAAATAATAAAAAAATACAAATTGTGCCCTCTTTACTGCTAATTCTTGAAAAAAGATCCAATACAAAATCCAGCACAATACAACCAAATCAGTAGTAATAAATCCATAAGATCAAAGAATTAATGAGGAAATATTTTCGATTTAGAACACTTATCAAATTCCCCCTCACTTATCTCATGCTTGTCCTCAAATATGTTTTAATCAGATCAACAGAAAACTCCATTTACCTTTCTTTGCAAAGTCTCACATCAAAGGAAGCAATGTAAGTAGAGACCACAATAATCATCCAAATCAAGACACCAATCAATTGAACAACACTAATTGGAACAAGGTAAATATAATTGTGACATCCATTCATTCATCAATCTCAATACCACCTAACTTAACACCTTAACAGGATTCACTCAAATAACTGAATGTGCTTGGGGTATAGAAACGCTCAACGTCAGAACCGACACGAAATTACCATAGGCCTCCAAGTAAATCAAATCTCCACTACTAATACGAACAAGATGCACATATCAAAGGGTCTTTTATTAGTTGTAACGGGGCTTAGGTAAAGGTGGGGGAAAAATGCTAATAATATGGCTAAAATTCAAGACAAGGAACTAACAAATAACAAGTTCGACTCCATCAATCGTCTAAGTACAGTAAGATAAAAAGACACAAACCATCAAAAAACACCTTTCCTTTCGAATTGAATTTGACTTTTTTGTACTTTTGATGTTGTTTTGTTTCCCCCTTTTCCCATGTCTTTTTCTGTTTTCTTTTTCTTTTTTTCTTTTTCTGAACTGTTTTTTTTAAACAAAGAACTTTTTCTTTTGCACATGACTTCCTTTCTAACACCACAAAAATTGTTCACTTGTCCTGAAAAGAGTATAAAAAAGGGATAAAATAAAAAGGCTCGTGTTTATAAATGTGGCGAAAACAAAGAATGGTAATAGGCTCAAGAGTGGTTAACAAGGGGAAAATGCATGGATAAGAAATTTAGTGGGGAAAATAAAGGGGTTAATCTTAAGGTGCCCAAATCATTTTTAAGCATCATGTTATTGTGCAATCTCGATATTATTTAAAATGCAGGTTCTAGAATACCAATGTCGAATTCGACACACTCAATCAAACAAAATAAGAGCAAAATGATATGCTCGTAAAGGCTTAAATCTAATCAAAGTGTTTTCATGCATTGAGCTAAGCACATTCCAACCAACAAAATCATGAAATATCACAAGAAATCCAACTTGATCACAACTCATGCTATTCGCTATCAAGAATATCTTAACCTAAACAATTATGTATTCCCAAACAAGCATGACATACCAAAAATATTCAACAAGACAAAGAAATTCAATAAAACTTTCGACAAAAAAACCAACACATACTAGCATCAAAACATAAAGATAAGCAAAGAAAAATTCAATTTAGACTCTACTCCCCCTCAATTAAGGTGTTTTATCCCAAAACATAAAATTAAAGTACGAGAGAAGGAATATAGAACTCCCATGATTTATAGTGAACCACGACCACAGCTACGACGAGAGGCTTTGGGACGAATATATGAAAGAATTTCAGCAATGTTTGTCTCAATGGTGTTGATCATCTATTTATGTTTTCATGTCCGGGCGAGATGTTGCAGGTGGCGGTTGTGACGCATTGCGACGAACGAAAACTTGCTCTCAGAGAGGAGTAAGAACACCAGGTGGAATAAAGTATGGTGCACTTGAGGTTCCAGTAAGTAAGCCCATCAAATCCAAGCATTGCTCATCCAAGGAATCTGTAGAAAAAGCATAAGTAAACATGGTAACATCAAAATTAGCGATGCGAGAAGCTAAATGAGTAACATAAGAGCCAAGGATAAATGGACGATTAGACTAAATACCGATCTTAAAATCCCAAGCAAACCAAAAACCTAAGTTCACCCACTGGCCGACTAACATACACCATAAAAATAAAAGCTAGACTCAGCTCAAGAAAAAGACGAGTCATTTCGGCCTGAATTATTATAGGCGAGGAAGCGGTGTATATAGCGTAAGGTCAGGTTGTGTATATGATGAGATCGAGTCGAGTGAGCGTTGAACGTATGACCAACCAAGACGGTGAGTGCCTCGTAAGACATATCGGCATCGAAATCCTACGGAATCTCAAGCAGAGCAGTATGATACTCATGAATCATGACATCTGTCACAAACCTCATAGCAAGATTAAACTAGAAATAGACATGGAAAAATGATTCTCGCATAATTGAAAAGTAACAACATTAGAAGAGGTAACATTAATAAGACGATGCTGTGAAAAAGTGAAAGTGGCATAAAATTGAAAGACAAGTTCATAAAAAGTGCCATAATTAATAAGTTGATATAAAGTCTAACCAATGCTAACAAAGTAAGCATGTACATATAAGCTAAATGTAGAGTTTCCAAAGTTCGAGTCGGAATATATTTATATACATGAAAAGGACAATTACTTACTGATTCAAAACACACTAACTCCTCATTGTTGAAATGGAAGTAATCTTGCAGAGTTTCTTAAATAGGGACAGCATACGAGCGACCACGTCGATTACGTTATAGATTCTCATGAACAGTCTGTTTTTCACATATTTACCTTTTGGCGTAAATTTGGTTGCATTGTATCCGAGGGATTATTGGAAGTTGAATTAAAGTTTGAGGGCAATCGAATGGAGTTAAATAGTTGATCGATATGGCATGGAAATAGAGGTAATACTCTACTACCTTTTGTATGCTTTTTGGAGCTCATGGATAGATGGTAAGTGCTTGATTGAAATTGATTGGTCCATTATATGTATCTAACTATCAACGGACTCAGACGTAAATTGAAATAAGGAAATAAAACAATATAAGACTTCGACGGCTCGATAAAGAGAAATTGGAAGATCAATCGAAATAATTATAAGTTTAGTGATCCAATAATAAATGAATCGGTTTCAATATCCATAAATTTTGATAAATCTCTTTAAAGGTTAAATATCGGGATTATTTGGATAAGAAATTACTTAAAATAGCCCTAAGAGGTAAAATTTTGAAAATGCCCTTGTATTGAAAAAGGACCAAGATTTTCCCTTGTGGTGAAATTAACCTCTAGTAAGCAAATGAGCAAAGTACTCTAAAATTTAAATGGAACTGGAATACATTCAAGCCTAAGTTACCCGAAGTAATGCCATCAACGGAATTAAATGAAATTACGATAATACCCTTAAAGAGTAAAAAGAAAAATGGGTGACTATGAAAATGGAGACGACCTATGAACTCATATCTTGATACACTTGATCTCGAGAAGCATTGATTTAAATTCTGAATCTATATTGGAATTATATAATTACCCATAAAGTGTAAAATAACCAAAATGCCCTAAAGTGTAAAATAACCTAAAGTATCTCTATGCCATGGAATAACTAATACGTTTAAAATGAATATATAAACCTAGAATATCAAAATAAATTTATTATATGACCAAATTAAATTGAACATAAGTGTAATATATATCCAAAATTCAGAAATGTTCAAATTACTCTGAAAAACTCTGAAGTGACCAGGATAGACTTGACTACTAAATGACCTAGGTAACCATAATGACTTGTGACTAAAAGAGTGACTTGGATAAGTATGGAAATGTTGATGAACTTACCTGATGTACTATCCCCGTGCTTGTAAACCACGAATCAAGTATATCGACATTTTTCTGATAGTGTTGCGACGTGGGAATAAAATAAAAACCAATGGAATATATGTTCGTCTCCTTAAGATCTATTCAGCGATGATTCTGGAGGTGATCAATGGATAAGAATTGTTAGTATTAAAGAGTGAATACCCTGGAAGGGTATTGAATGGAACAGTCAACATGCATTAGTTCTAGAGTTGTTCAGCTTGAGTTATTTCGATAATTTGATATATCAACACAGATTGTAAATGTCCTAAACCTTCATTTCTCCCTTATCAGTTCAAATCACACCAGTTATATATGATCACACAAGTAACTCAGATGCAAAGAATTCTGAATAACACATTTGGTTTAATTGGACTAAAATCCTGTTAATTCAATGCATAATCCTGAAGACCTCAGATTGTTTGAGTAATGAAATCGCTCTCCGTAAATCTGAATATAGGATTTATTCACTATAAAGGTTCCTGAACACCTTTCGGATGCACCTGAATCATAGTGGGATTCTAAAGTATCAACTTTAAATGTCTGATTAGTTCCATTAATAATCGATTTTTTTTAATAGGACCTCGTTCCTGGAATCCGATCAAAGTATATAAGTTTCACGTTTTCCTAATAACTATTCAGTGCTTCTGAAAAATACTTGGATCCTCTAGTGTGTTCCGCATATACTACATGACGATTTTATATGTCTTAAAATGAGTTTTACTGAAATTATTACTTTACTAGTTTATGAACCATGGCAACATGGTATGTGTTCTCTGATTACGTTTTCATTGAAAAATATGAATTGTTCCTAATTTATTAAATCATGGAATTTACTGAGTTATGAACTATGGTTTCATGTTTTCAATGGTTACTATTTAAACTATTTTATTGGGACATTATCTGGGTAGGCTGGAGTATGGAGGTACAGCCCCTAGACTGCAATCATACCTCTTTGAGCTGGAACTCTAAGGTTGAATCCTTATCTGTAATGAGCAAACTTAAGTTTTCATCCGTTAGGACTCTATCGTTTTATAAAGGAATACCAGTAACGTCTATTTGAATTCTGTAAAGTACTACACGAGCCATGTGAGAGTTACTCATCTGAGAAATTCTGACTTGGCTCCGGAAATGAAATTCGGATATGCTACTTCTTTATGAGCCTATTCTCATGACCAAGACTGAATTGATTACTCAAGGACATTTTCGTTCAGATTCTTTTATTGAAATTAGAAAAAGTTCTGATAAGAATGTATACTCAACTAGTTAAGGATTAGTGGAGGATCTGTATTTCAATAAGAGCTACATTATAGATATGAAAGAACTGATGGAAGTTTTATTTCTGTAATTATGTGACATGAATGAATTTCGAGGACGAAATTCTTTTAAGGAGGGGAGAATTGTAACACCCAAATTTAGGGTTAAATTTTAGAAATTATAAAGTATTGGATTTAATTGGTATTTTGAACGAAATGGTGGATTAAATTGTAAAATTTCAAAGTTGGAAGACCATTTTAAGAACTGCATAAAGTTCAGTCATTAAACTCATGGTTTACCCATTTTTATTATGAGTTGAATTATAAATCCCCCATTACCATATGTTTCTGGAAAAATTATCCAATTTTCCTTCTCCAACAACCCTCCTTTCAACTCCGATCTACTCGTCGTCTGACCTCCGATTGACGAACCGAAACAACCATCGTGTTCGTTGTCGATCGAAGAACAAAACCCCTCAAACCTTTCGTCGAGAATCGTCACCGTTCATCGTTAATTTCAGTCAGAAGTATCGTCAGTAATAACTCGATTTCAGTTGGTTTTTCGTCGATTCACGACGATCTGATGATCCGTTTTCGACACCTCCCGCACCATTGTGTTCCTTGCATCGTTCCGAGTCCACCGGTGTTCTCAGTTTCTCTGCCGTCGCCGGCGCGTGGAGGGGTGAGATCGTCAAAGTTTCTGATGTTTCGGAATCGAGCTCTCCGCTGTTCAAAATTGTGAACTGAGCTTGGTAAGTGTCTCAAAATGCCTTAAAATAATTATTAGGAATTTTTCCGACACCGTATTACTGTTCACGCACCGCACGCGCCACCACCGAGAGTGACGATGGCCGCAGGGTGTTAGTTTTGTAATTAATTTCTGTTTGGGTGCTATTTGCGTAAAATTCAGGTGTTAGTTTCGTAAATATTTACAGAAGGTGGCTAATTATGTAATTAATTTAAGATTTGAGAGAGTTTATTAGATGAAAGGAGTAGTAAATTGATTGAATGTATAGATATGGAGGGTTAAATTTAATGAATTGTTTTGAATTAAGACCAATTTGATAGAATTTATAAGTTTTGAGGACTAAATGATATCTTATCGGGCCACATCACTATCTTCATTTTGTTTTGAAAGATTAAAGGCTTGATTAACACCAAAAATGAAAGTTTAGTGACCTAGCTAATAAATATTTCTGTTAAGGCTGAATAAAATTGACTCTATAGTTATTCAACAAAAAATAGAAATAATGCCAAATTTTATTGATGAAAGGCGTAGTGAACCAAATTTATTAATTGAATGAAAAAATATAATCTAATGTGATAGAGTATAAGTTAACATTTAATTGAAATGGTGCAAGGACTTACTGGAGAAGGAATTATAAAATATAACAAATAAAAGATTGCAAGCTCAACACACAATAAAATAAAACATTGTAAAATAGCATTATCGAAAGCTGCAAATGTATTCAGTAGGAACACTTCGTCCACAATTATTTAGAACAAGGCTCAATGAAATAGGAAGGTTGATGTTAATGCCTAAGACTCTTGCTCTGGCAGCAGTGCGAAGGCAAATTGTAGCTTCAAGATCAGAAAAACCATGGATTAGGCTACAACATGGTTTTATAGGCACATCGCCAAGCTCAACATTCACCAAACCCAACACATCAAGACACACACCGAGATTCAGGGGATTGCATGTACCGAATTGACCACGACCATTAGAGACAACAGCTCCGGGACGAATAATAACAAGGTTTTATATGGTAAATCATTTTCGGATTTCAGACGAATTTGAATATGAATTTATCTTTTATATGGTAATATTTAAAAAATACTTTTTTCATATATTCAAATATTTTATGATTATTTCACCTCCATATATATCAAGCACGTGTTTTATATACTAATGTTTATCATTAGATCATTATTTTCTTCTCAAAATTTTTGTTTGATGGATTGTAAGGCCAAGGCCAAATGGAATGGTCGACTATGTCATAATTAATGTTTGACAGTTTTTTGTTATTGTTTCTTTACTTTATTATTGATCTTTCGGGACGAGCTTTTTTAATAATGTTGTTTGAATATTACCTACACGGTTATTAAACTATGGTTCGATTTTATTCTGACTGGCAAATTAGAAATGTTGTCAAATAAAAATAATGCCAAATTTAATTGATGAAAAGTGTAGTGTACCAAATTTAATAATTGAATGAAAAAATATTACATAATGTGGTAAAGTAGAAGTTTACATTTATTCAGAATAATAATGAATGGGAAGGTCAAAAAGTGTTAAAAAGACTTGGTGAACAATGAATTATAAAATACAACAAATAAACAATTACAATCTCAACACACAATAAAATCAAAGATAGTATAATAACACTATTGAAGGCTGCAAATGTATTTGGTAGGAACACTTCGTCCGCAATTATTTAGAGCAAGGCTTAGTGAAATAGGGAGCTTGATGTTAATGCCTAAGACTCTTGCTCTAACTACAGTGCAAAGGCAAACTGCAGCTTCAAGATCAGCCAAACCTTGAATTAGTCTACAACATGATTTTATAGGCACATTACCAAGCATAACATTCACAAAACTCAAGACATCAAGACACACACTAAGACACACTAAGATTCAAGGGATTGCATGTACTAGATTGACCCCGACCATTAGGTAAAAATCTCTAAGACGAATAACAACATAATTTCAGGAATTTGTTGTACAAGAAGAACCTTCTAAATTATTAGCAACATTTTAAAACTAAAAATATGATGACAAATAATAAATGTGACGAATGCAATAGTTAAGAAACGTGAATACACTTAATGAAATTAAAAATATATAATATATTAAATAATATTTACATGTATTAAAATACATATAATTTGTATGATGACAAATAATAAAAGATATATTTTTGTATGAACAATCTTCGAAAACATATTTCTCTTAAGTTAGGAGACTTTGCACAGATTCCCCAATACAAAAAGACATTGCCTTGATTTTATTTTAATATCTAAAATATAGTAAAATTATACTATCGATAAAAATCAATTGTAAAAAAGGTGACATCATTTGTACGTAGAATCATAAAAAATACACTTCCCCTTATTTAGGAGGCTTTCACACTGATTTTCCTCACAAAAAATTATTGTTTTTTTTTTTAGATCAAAAAAATTATTAATATGTTTAATACACACATATAATACATATAATATAGGATGAATAAAATATAAACCATACTATGTATGTATACGTATACGTACACATACACATACACATACACATACACATACACATACACATACACTACACCTACACCTACACCTACACATACACATACACATACACATACACATACACATACACATACACATACATACACATACACATACACATACACATACACATACACATACACATACACATACACCTACACCTACACCTACACCTACACCTACACATACACATACACATACACATACACATACACATACACATACACATACACATACACATACACATACACCTACACATACACATACACATACACATACACATACATACACATACACCTACCCTACACCTACACCTACACATACACATACACATACACATACACATACACATACACATACACATACACATACACCTACACCTACACCTACACCTACACCTACACCTACCCACACATACACATCACATACACATACACATACACATACACATACACATACACATACACCTCACCTACACATACACATACACATACACACACATACACATACACATACACATACACATACCATACACATACACATACACATACACACATACACATACACATACACATACACACACATACACCACACATACACATACACCATACACATACACATACACACACATACACATACACATACACATACACATACACATACACATACACATACACATACACATACACATACACATACACATACACATACACATACACATACACATACACATACACATACACATACACATACACATACACATACACATACTACACATACACATACACATACACATACACATACACATACACATACACATACACATACACATACACATACACACATACACATACCATACACATACACATACACATACACATACACATACACATACACATACACATACACATACACATACACATACCACATACACATACACATACCATACCATACACATACACATCCACATACACATACACATCACATACACATACACATACACATACACATCACATACACACACATACACATACACATACACATACACCTACACATACACATACACAACACATACACCACACACATACACATACACATACATACACCATACACATACACATACACATACACATACACATACCACCTACACCTACACATACACAACATACACCTACACCTACACCTACACCTACACATACACCTACACCTACACATACACCTACACCTACACACACACCTACCCCTACACTACCATACATACCATACACATACACATACGCATACACATACCCTACGCCTACCCTACGCCTACACCTACGCCTACACCTACACCTACGCACACACACCTACGCCACCTACACCTACGCCTACGCATACACCTACGCCTACGCCTACGCCTACGCCTACGCCTACGCCTACGCCTACGCCTACGCCTACGCCTACGCCTACGCCTACGCCTACGCCTACGCCTACGCCTACGCCTACGCACCTACACATACACCTACACCTATGCATACGCATACGCCTACGCCTACGCCTACGCCTACGCCTACGCCTACGCCTACACCTACGCATACGCATACGCATACGTATATGCCTACGCCTACGCATATGCCTACGCCTACGCATACGCCTACGCCTACGCATACGTATACGCATACGCATACGTATATGCATACGCATACGCATTCGCATTCGCATTCGTATACGCATACGCATATGCATACGCTTACGCTTACGCAGAAGCATACGCAGACGCATACGCTTACGCAGACGCAGACGCAGACGCAGACGCAGACGCAGACGCAGACGCATACGCAGACGCATACGCAGACGCATACATATAATACTCTAATATAAGCATAATATAACATATAAGGATGAAAATGACATAAACACAAAATTCATCAGCACATAATTATTGAGATGGTCTTTTTCGGAGGGGGAAAGGGGGTCTCATTTCAAAATTCTTTTTTGATCGGTTAATGATATAATGTGGTTCGATGAGTCACCACCAATCTTTGATTAGGGTGTGATTGGGCACCCAAAATGTATTCGTCATTTTAATAAAATATTAATTTTAATTAAAATGACAAACTTACGGTCTACGTTACCAAAATTTGAGTTCGGGAGTCGGCTACATGTGGGGAAGGATTAACACCCCACAACGCGCTAAATCGGTACTTAGTCAATTAATTAATTGTCTTTGCAATGAAATTTACGAGTTCGAGTCTAATTTAATTTAAGATCCCCTAAAAATGACATTCTTTGAATTTTGGATGAAACTTAAAGATATTACTATTTCGTCTTAAAATTATATAGAGATTTGAATGAAAACAATAATATCTAATGATTTCCAATCGAGAATAAATGACCTCTCATACCTTACAGTAGTCATTTATCATTCACACCGAAAAAAATGTATTATTATTCTCAATGTTGATTCAAATGTTATTGTTTTGAAAATCTATCTGGAAAACACATGCAAAAATAAAGAGAATTAAAAGCGTATATCAAGGAAGTAAAATTATTAATTTTACCAATTTTTAATGAGAATAAGAATGTTCAAATATTTAAATATCTCGAGATGAGACCTTAGATCCGATCTAAAAGTCTTTTCTCGATGAGTTTAATTAAAAGAACATGATCCTTTTCCCAATCCCCAAATTTTAAAATGAATTCGATTTAATTCGTGTCACTAAATGAGATAAACTTTCATTTTAAAATTATCGAAAGTAACTTTCTTATACGTTAAGACAGTTACTTTACGACAATATTAAAATGATCGAACATTACACTTATTCAATTTATTTCGAATCTAATCGATGCTTATGAGGGTATTACATAAATGAAAAAATATATAGCTATACTTATGCACAAATAAACATACAAAAGTAGAAACTTTGTATATATACTAAGTTATCAACCAATTGTTTAAAAAAATACACGATTAATATATACATATATATATATATACGTTAACATGGAAAGAGAAGAAATGGCAACTTCATGATCCCATATATTCAAATATTACATCCCTTAATAAAGGGTTAACAAAAGCATGCTTGTTATATTTCATTAATAAAGGAATATTATATATATGTTATATTAACATGGAAAGAAAACGAAACAGTGATCAACATTATAGGGTCAACACACCTATATATGTATATAAATTCTTTAATAAAGACTAGGCAAAGCATTCATACCATATTTGTTTGCAAAAGGACATATATATATATGCCATATCTTGATAAAAAAAAAAACCCATGCATTATATACGAATATGCCACGTATTTAACAACTAAGTATTAACCTATTATAATATATTATATTAAAGAATTACTACATGCATTTACCTAATACAAAACTACATGATTCATGCAAAAAGATACGGGATCATTAAAAACATTCATACCTAATATAATATAAAATTAAATAAAACTACCTAATATAATAAATATTCAAACATAGAAACACAACTCACTTTAGTAAACACAACATAAATGGAATATTCAAACAACCTAATTGCAACAATACATATAAATAAACAAGTCATTCATTAAGGAGAATCATAATAGGCAAATTCTAAATAATTTAGTGACCAAAGTGCAAACACAAATAAATTAAAAACATGAAGTATAAATAATGTAAAATTACATTCGGTGACTAAATTAAAAAATCCCCGAACCCTAAAAAACTTGGTAAGATAATAACCCAGGCACCAAAAATTCACTCTAACCCCTTTACAAAACGGGGTCATTTTGAGGGCCCCATAAATACTCTACTATAGGGTTTCGGCTAACCCTATATCATTTCTCTTCTCTCCAAACGAAAAACACAAAAGGGAGAGAGAGAAAACTCTCTCAAATCCCCCTCGTCGGGGGAAAGAAACTGCCACCCGCCGGTGGTGCTCACATTAGCCGACGGCGGCCGGAGAAAGCAAAAACCCACCTAAAACTTCCTCTCCTCTTCCTCAACCCAAATTTGATGCCCGATCACTGAGAAAACCCCCTAGAAGCCTATATATAAGGATTTACCTTCGGATAACTAAAAAATCCAGTAACCTTTCGGCTTGCTCGTACTCCGGCCGCCGCAAAGACCTCCCACCAAGGTAATCTACTCGACCCCGTTTTGGTTTTTTTATATATGCAATATTCAAAAATAAATCTTGTCTTTTTTATTTCACGATTCGAAACCGAAATAAAACACCCAAAAAAACCTTTAAAAATTATAATTTTTTTCTTTTATTTGCTTTTTCGGGACTGAAAAACCCAGAGGGGAGAGCTAATTTTACAATCTTGGTTCGGGTTTATATAACCCCCGATTTTACATATGCTTTTTTCTATTTTTTTCCTTTGAAATCATTACAAAAAATGATTTTGTGTGTGGTTTTGGTTTTTGTTCCTACTTACTTACTGACTTAGGTATACTAACATGGCAGGGCTGGTACGTGGTTGGTAGCAGCTGTAGTGGCTAGGGACTGGTACAGTAAGGAGGTGGCAGCTGATTGGTGGAAGCGGTAGTGGCTGGGTTCTCCCTCTGGTGGTGGTGGTTGAGATGAAAACCCTAGGGTTTCAAACCCTAGTTGGGTAGGATCAAACCTGGGTTTGGGCCTGTAGTTGGGTTCTGGGTTAGCTTGTGGCCTGGGCTCGGGTCTTGGGTTGTTTTTTTTGGGCCCAATTGGTTTGTTGTAAAGCCTGAAAACATAAATAGAATTAATAACAACAACAACAACAACAATAATAATACAGGACTAAAATGAGTGTCAATAGATTCCCTTGTTTGCTCATTCTTGTGTTAACAAGAATAAGGCAAAGACAAAGAGACAAAGAGTTTTCGTCCGGTCAACTTCATGCTTTGCAATATGATGAGGGATCTGTTCCGCATCTTCTTGAACGAAAATCATATATGGGGGAGGTTGATCCATTATACTGTCACTCAGGGAAGATTGAATCGAGGTAGACTTGTTCCACTGTCACTCAGGGAATATCAAATCTTTAAAGAGAGGGATTTGTTCCACTTCTTCTGGAGGAAATATCATATATAGGGGAGTTGATCCATTCTATTGTCACTCAAGAAGATTGAATCGAGGTATACTTGTTCAACTGTCACTCAGGGAATATAAAATCTTGAAAGATAGGGATTTGTTCCGCTTCTTCAGGAGGGAATATCAGATCTAGGGAAGTTGATTCATTCCAGTTACTCAGGGAATATCAAATCTGAAAATTAAACATTACCACTTGTTAGTATATGTTTAAAAATTTGAAAAATCATACTTGAAGATTTGGATTTCAAGATAGTCTTTGAAAATCAAATTTTCTTGTGCAAATTTATCTTGCAACCACCGAATATGGGAGTCTGTCTTTACTTGAGTCTCAGTTGGATCTCTTTCTTTTTGGGACTCTGAATCTGTTACTTTTTCAAAAAATTCATTTTTTCAGAAAATATTTAAATGAGATAATTTGGAAATTATTTTTCTTAATCTCCAGAAAATCATGCGAAAACATCATGCCCGAAGGACTTATGGATGGCCTGAAGGACTTACCAAATTTGAGAATAGTTTACTAGGTAAGAAATTTTCTTACTTTAAAAAAAATCAATTTACATATTTTAATGAGAAACCTTTCTCATTTTTTTGAGAGACACGTGAAAAAAAATCCTTCCCAAAGGTCTTATAGATGACCCGAAGGACTTATCATCTTGCTCGAAAGACTTATAGATGACCTGGAGGATTTAAGCATCATACTCGGGAGACTTCCCGATGGCCCGAAGGACTTAACCAACTTTGGAAATAGTTTACTAGGTAAGAAACCTTTCTTACTTTAAAAAAAATTAATTTTAAGATTTAAATGAGAAATCTTTCTCACTTTTTGAGATACATGTGAAAACATCCTACCCGAATGTCTTATGGATGACACGAAGGACTTATTATCTTGCTCGAAAGACTTACAGATGACCCGAAGGATTTAAGTATCATGCTTGAAAGACTTACTGATGGCCCGAAGGACCTATAAAATTTGGAAATAGTTTACTAGGTAAGAAACCTTTCTTACTTTTTTTAATAAAAATTTCAATTTTCAGATTTAAATGAAAAACCTTTCACATTTTCTGAGAGAGATGTGAAAACATCCTTCCCGAAGGTCTTATGGATGGCCCGAATGACTTATCATCTTGCTCAAAATACTTATAGAGATGACACGAAGGATTTAAGTATCATGCTTGAAAGACTTACTGATGGTCCAAATGACTTATAAAATTTGGAAATAGTTTACTAGGTAAGAAACCTTCTTACTTTTCAAAAAAATTCAATTTTCATATTTAAATGAGAAACCTTTCTCATTTTTTTAGAGACATGTGAAATCATCCTGTCCAAAGGACTTATGGATGGCCCAAAGGACTTATCATCTTGATTGAAAGACTTACAGATGACCCGAAGGATTTAAGCATATGCTCGAAAGACTTACTGATGTCCCGAAGGACTTATAAATTTTGAAAAGAGTTTACTAGGTGAGAAACCTTTCTTAATTTTCCAAAAACTTCAATTTTCAGATTTAAATGAGAAAACTTACACATTTTCTGAGAAAGATGTGAAAACATCCTGCCCGAAGGTCTTATGGATGGTCCGAAGAACTTATCATCTTGCTCGAAAGACTTACAGATGACCCGAAGGATTTAAGCATCATGCTCGAATGACTTAATCATGGCATGTAGGAGTTATAAATTTTGGAAATAGTTTACTAAGTAAGAAACCTTTCTCACTTTCCAAAAATTTTAAATTTAATCGAGGAACCTTTCTCATTTTTTGAGTCACTTGTGAAAACATC